ATTGTTTAGATCCTTCAAGAACTCCTTCACTACTCTTGAACAAAAATAGACACAACATTTCTAAGCTCATATTCAAAAGAAGCACAAACTCATAGCGTTTTGACTCGTCGGCTATACTTTCTGGCAGGTCCAATGCTAACAAACATTTTGTCTAAAAGCTTTTCGATTTCCAGTATGCTTAGAATTTATCTCTGTCTTTTGACAGTTGAGTTATAAGTGGATCTATAAAAATTCCGAACATTTTTTAAGAAGAGAAACCTTAAATGGAGTCTCTGCCACACATGTCGGAAAGTTTGGTCGTATATATTGAAAGATACAAAAGATAGTCCTCTACCAAACGGTATGTTTGAATAGAATTTTTTTGAACAAACTCTTACAGTACAGTTAAAGCTTTTATAAAGTCTATCACAGGAAACATGGTTATTTTTTCGATTTTCTCCTTTCCAGTGCACAATGACCGTCTATGATAACTCATATGCTTACAAAACTTTTTTGATGTCTACAGAAGGCAGACTTCTTTCTTTAGAACAACACGATTTTGATCTCTTCAAAAAATTCTTTCGAGTCCTGTCAAGATTTATTTATAGATCCATAGTCACAGAAAAATTTTAAGCATACATTCTAAAATAATACACGATTCTCATTCTAATACATTACTTCTCAGTCTTTTTCGACACATTTGAATACGAAGCAAAAATACTCCAATATATTGTCTAGAAACTTTTGACTCACTATAAATTATCACTATTAGAAATATGAACTTTTATTTATATTAAAGCATTATATTTCATCAGTTTCTTATAAACAGAAACATTGTTAGTGCACACCCTATGGGTTGAAAAACGTGAAACATGATATAGTTGCTGTTGCTAATCTGATGAAAATTGTTTTATTTTATCTATACTGGGACACACTTCTTCACCATCCTTTTACTTAATCCTCGACAAATCCAGTACGTAAGTAGTTCATATAGTATGATGTGACTTTATTGATATACACCGTTTGCCATATTGAATCACGCATCGGAGGAGTGTTACTAAGGTGTCTGTCACGGTCTGTGAAGCTTCTATACTTCAATACTCCTGTTAAATAATATTTCACAAAAGTTTTTCGTTAAGAAACTCTAACTATTTATAACATACAATTAAAAATAATTTTTAATCCATATTTGCTTTATATGAAATAATTTTGTGTTGTTCTATAGACTTAAATATTTCGTAATGAATAGCACAAATGTGTTATTTTGAACTATTACATAAAATACGTTGTTAGATTTCCGTTTGTTTTTTTTTATGTGGATTTCATTGACATATTAATAGGATATAAAATATAAAAGCTAATCTTGGGAAGTGGAACAAAATGAAAGGATTATGATAGCAACGAATACTGAATCTTATGTTTTGAATTATATGAGAGATACATCATTGAGTAATTATCTACACTAACTATATCTTAGTTGACTCTAATATAATGTCATTTAATCTCATTATTGTTTCATATGTTGTTGAAGTCATTTTATTTACTAAAAGCTTTATTATTATATTAAAATATTACAAATTCTAAATGGTTTAACAATCTTCAAACATTACAACAAAATCGATTGAATGTTTAGAAGGTATTGTTATATTGACTGTGAACCATCATACTCGAGTAAATGTTGTTGTTGAAATTAATAACAATGATCGACAATGGATTGAAATCATTGCTTAAAGAATTTGTAATTCACTAAGAAGTTTTCTCTTCTTATTCCATACTTAAATAAGTAAAATACATTAACTATTGCTAACATATAAACAACATGACGACCTTCTTATATGCAATGCCATGATTGAAAATACTAATGACTAATGAGTAAAAAAAATTACATGACAATATCATGGATCATTAATCTTCTAAATGCTCCATTAGTATATCGAAGTCATAGATCAAAATTAACTATAATAATAATAATGGTTCGATTGTCGTTGTTGAAATCACCAATTGTTAATGTAATTGAATTAGAATTATTGCTATTAGAAAACGTAATTTCATTGATAAAACTTCATTATCATAGTTGAGCTAGATATTCATAGTGCAAAATTCATATATGTTTATGACAAACATATGGTAGATTGTTTCTGTTAAAATCACCAACAGCAAAATAATTAATTTAGAATTATTACCAGTGGAACACTTCAGTTAGTTTTTTCAAACTTCCATTTTCATATCTAAAAAGTAGTATTAATATAATAACTGTTGAGAACGATCTTCATGGCGACTTATTGAATATTGATTTAAATAGCGTGCCTATACAAGTACACAGGCAGTCTGAAATTCACACAATAAAAAGAAACGATCAACTGATATTCATTCAATAAGTTTAGCCATATGAAATTGACGTGCTTAATAACAAGAATAGATTCAACTGCTACTTTATATGTTTTTTTGTCAATTTTATGCAGTCAAATAATCTTTTGTTCATGTCTCTCTCTCTCTCGCTTTAATAAAAGTTATATATTTCACAGTAGAATATTAATTGAATTTATTTCAAAAAATGTATTAAACTCAAGGGGGAAAAAGCGGATTCAGTCTATTCCGAATACCGTCGAGCTATACAGAATACGGAGGATACGATGAGGATACAGAGGATACGATCGGGATACAGAGGATACATCGGGGATACACAGGATACAAGGAGGATACACAGGAAATAATCTGACATAATGAAGAAAATATAAAATATGCTCGATCTATTCAATGAGAATACTGGCTACTCAATTCTAACGAATAAATGTTATCGATTACGAAGAATTTGACATGTACTTCGTCACATATTTCGATATTGAGTATATCATTTTATGTTGTGTAATTATTTAAACTCAGAAAAATAACAATATTAATTAGTCAGTGTCTAACGAAACCCGCTATGGCTGAATCGTTAAGATGATTGACATATACCCATAAGGTACTGTGTTCAAACCTCGACCCTATCAGTCATAGAATGATCTTGAACAAGTCAATAACGGATGCATTGTCTCGGATCACCCATCCGATAACAAACTGACTACGCGTTGATATAAACTAAAAAGCTCTTGTGGCTGGTATGTGGTTAGTCAGTATGTACGGGGAACTTTAGTAATTAAGCGAGGAAAACTCTGAGTCAGGCCGGTCTTCTGCCCAGAGCTACATTTAGTAATAGATTTAGAAAAAATATCGGGCTTTCGAAGCAGTTCTCGGACAGCACCCTATATCGCAAGGTAGCCGAAAGGTGGGGTATTCTTCTTCTTCTTCTTCTTCTTCTTCTTCTTCTTCTAGTGTCTAACGATTCTACCCATTGAGCGCTCTCTTAATAGGCGCAAAGCCGTCGGCTGAGTCAAATGTTATAGCACAAAAAGCTGTAACTCCTGCTTATCGTCTTCAGTATATTCTACGCCATCATTTTCCATCAAGAAGAAAAAGTGGATCATGGTATTCTCGGTATCCTTTTCATTTCTTTCGTATTTCTATCATATTCTCTGTAATCCATTATATCCTTCGTATTTTCATTGTACCCTACGTATCCCCGTTATATCCTCCGTATTCCTATCGTATCCTCTGTATCCTCGCCGTATCCCTCATATCCCCATTGTATCCTCCGTATCCCCGCGGTATCCTAATCGTATTCCGGATATGAGGGATCCTCGTATCCGGGATACGATCAGGATACACAGGATACAATGG